ATATGGTCTCATCCGAAGGACCGGTCTCCACATCCCACAGAAGTGTTCAAACCCGCGATCCGTGAAAATATGGTCTTTCTGATAAAAAGAAAATATATAGTAGAACTAAATTATGGTATATATTCATGGACTTGCCTATACTTCAAATATTGATAGCAAATCCAACGTCTACTCATCAACATCAAGACATTAAAAAAACAACTTTAAGGGAAGTTAAAATAAGCATTACATGCATTACAATAGTGGGTGTTATTTCAATGGTGTTCATTGAACCCTATTGAAATAATTATTGCATTAGTGATAGTAATTTCAATAGTGGTTGCATTAAAAGTACTGCGAATTTTTTTAGGTCACCTGAAAATATGCTTCTTCTCTGAAACCACTGAACCAATTTCAACCAATTTTGGCATATAGCATCTATGGCTCAAAAATTATGAATTTCGTGGTCCCTTTCTTTAAAAATCTTCTTCTTTACTGTGAAATTCATGGCCCCAGGGTCAGGGGTTCTGGTGTTAGGGCGGGGCTCTATTGATTATATAGAGAAAATGCATTAATTCTTTGAAAATAAAAATGAGAAAATATATATTTCTTTGAAAATCTTCTTCTCTGTAGAACTAAATTATGGTATATATTCATGGACTTGCCTATACTTCAAATATTGATAGCAAATCCAACGTCTACTCATCAACATCAAGACATTAAAAAAACAACTTTAAGGGAAGTTAAAATAAGCATTACATGCATTACAATAGTGGGTGTTATTTCAATGGTGGTCAAACACACAAAGCTGCTATTGAATTAATGTCCACTATTGAAATAATTATTGCATTAGTGATAGTAATTTCAATAGTGGTTGCATTAAAAGCACTGCTATTGAAATAATATCTACTATTGATTTTTTTTTTCAATCATCTAGCTTAAAACATGAACCAAATTCAATAGCGGTCATTATTTCAAGAGGGTTGCAACACGGCTATAAGTTTACAGTATTTCAAAACTATATTCCTGGCAGTAGGAACCGAGGGGGCACGGTGTGACAGGGTGTGTGTGAGAGGGTGTGTGTCTCCCAATAATTTTGCCGATGAATAGAATTGCTATAGAAAACATAGCTCAATGAAAACGTCTTTTATAAACTGGAATATATCGAGTCGACATTTGAATGAAAGCTACTGCGTTGTTAATTGCTACTACATCGTTGATACATCTAAATGTCAAGTTGAAGGACACAGCAAATATATTCTTCTTCTCATTAAGTTTTTGAATAAATTCTGCTTGTTGGAAGAATTTTCCCCTTTGTGCGTGACAATGCCGCTTTAATAACATGGTACTAGTAAGTAAATTTACGAGTATATTTTAAAGTAGCTGTCATTGATGGCAAAAAGCCTAAACTTTAACTTAAACTTATCGTGGGGAAAAGTGGTATAAAGTGTTGAAAAGTCGTACGTTTTGATGTAATTAATTTGGTAAAATTTTGTGATTTTAAATTTTCTAAAAGTTCCTTGAAGTTTTGAGTATCCACATCTGATTAACACCACTTCTCGAGTATATCGTTGCACAGTACTCCTGAAGTTTCTCCTTCACTGCTGTGAATATTTTAGCGAGGAGTAAAGAAATAGGCTTGGAGGAACATTTATTGGAACCCTCTATATATCTTCGTAACGATTTTTATGTAGTTTAGGTATCCAATATAGGTTGTGTGGTAATTAAAATTACCACTTGTAGAATTTAATCTCAATTCATCTAAAATACAATTAAAATAATGAGCCTTACAAACTAAGACACCTCCATTGTCGATGTAGTTAAGTTGAACGAAAAACGTTCAGAATTTGTAAATGAACACATCCCACAAAAAGATGTAGTAGCTATATGGTAAGACTGGACGATAAACCTTGGTTTAAATCTGAAATTTGGAAGGAAATAATCTTGTAGAAAAGCTTACAGAAAATCTAAAACTGAGACAGATCTATGCGTAAGCATTTGAACGGTACGTATACCCAATTAATAGACATTTATCACAATATTTGTATTCATTGCTTTAGACAATAAAGAAGTCACGTGTTTTGCCTTTTGTGATATTAGTAAGGCATTTGACACAGTTTGTTTGAAATGGTTTAAAATGTTAATTAGAAAAATATGGGTTTGTGGGAGAGGTTCTTGTATTGTTAAATGATTATCTTACAAGTCGTTCACAACAGGTCAAAATAAAATCATGTTCTTCTGTGGGAAGAACCAAAGCAGGAGTTCCCCAGGGATCTGTGCTTGGTCCTTTACTTTTTTTAATTTTATATAAATGACCTGCCATATGGACTCTTGGGTCTCTCTAGACTATTTGCAGATGATACATCTGTGTCAAACACTTCTAAAAACTTGCAGGTATTAGAAAGACTTACTAACTATGATATAGAACAAATTAATTGGTCCAAAAAAGTTGTAATAAGAGCAAAATATTAATTATTTGGTTGAAGAGAAGATGAAGTATCAAATTTACGTTTGAAGTTTGACAATCAAAAAATAGTTAATAGTTCCATCTTCTATTCATTGTCATCTTGAACTTACGTTTTCAAATATGGGCAAATGGACAAATCACATCGATAACATTTATTTGTTACAAAGACTTAAAAAAAAAAAAAAAAAAAAATTGCGGTTCTTCGTAAATGAAAATCATCAATGAATCGGGATTTTTAAATTAAGATGGCATATATTACATTTATTAGGCCCCTATTTGTATATGAATCAGAAGTATTTAATAAAAATAAATATTTCCGCAGTTGACGGTCGTGATAGTTTGGAGAAATTACAATTAGCCGGTGTGCGTTTTGTAACTGGCCTTCCTATTTATGCTCCTCACAAGTCTCTATATTTTGAAACAGGATGGGAAACATTATGTTTAATGTTTAAAATAAAACACAGTCTCGCGCCAGAATATTTATAAAATCTATTATTACCTCTTGAAATCTCACAAACTACCCATTATGATTTACGTAATTATAATAATATTGCTATTCCCCATTGTAGCACAAACTTACTAAAAATTCATTCTTTCCATCTACAATATCAATATGGAATGTTTTGTTTGTTATCTTCATATCCTTCATTGTCTACGGAGATAAGAAACCTGTACATTTATTGGTTGTACATCAAGTGTATCCGTTTTTGTCATTTTCTCTGTAATGAAGAGGATAATCTAAATTGGAATAACTTGTGTCCAGTCCCATTGATTGCGTTCAATTAAATATAAATTTAGATAAAAAAAAACCCTAGTCCTACTTTGTCAGCTGGGACAAGTACATACTGATCGTGTAATCTACATGTATTTATTATTTTTTACCTTTGAATTATTGAACACAGGATGATAGATGGTTTTCATCTTGCCCACCTCAATCGCTTATGCGAGATTTTAACATGAAATATATGAAGGTAACGAACAGTATTCATGCTCAAAGTCCATTAAACAATATAAAATAGGAGCAGAACAAACACGAACTTCTAAAACATCAGAGGTGGGATCAGGTGCCATGGAGAAGTAAGCATCCCATGCCAACCGGTCACACCCGCTGTGAGCTCCTTGTTATGATTGGGAAATAACGGAAAAATCCATCGACAATCCGGTGTGTAAATAATGGCCTTACAATTAGTATGAAAAACGTCAGTCAGCATTTGACTGCAAATGATTAATTGTATTTGCTGACAAGGTCATTGTATCGACCATAGAACTTACGAAATGATGACTTTAATAATTTACCTCGCTTTAAAAATTATTCATACGCAGAGAATGCTTTTGCGTATCGAATCAACCGAGAGATATAAATCCCGTGTACAGGTGCACGTGATGAAGGTATATTACTGCATAAGTAAGGGAAGTTGACGATTGAAGAGTTAAAGTCATCATGTTTAACATAAAGCTTTGTTGTTAGATTACCATTAAAGTATTTTTCAAGTAAAATATCAAAATTTTGGAACAGATGTGTCAGACTCTGTTGTATGTTTTCTCTCAGCTCACCGGGATATATCGTATCGACATAAGAATGTAAATAAGCATTCAATTTGTTAATTGAAAATACGTCATGGATATATCAAAATGACAAGTTGATTGATTGATTGTATGTTGATTGATGTCCCTCTCGAGAATTTTTCACTCGCACAGAGACGCCACCCTTGCCGGTGGAGAGCTACAATTTTTGTCCAATGCTCTGCACTGAGGGCTATTGAGCAGGGAGGGATCTTTTTCGTGCCAGCACGTACTATGACACAGGACCACGGTTTATACGGTCTCACCCGAAGAACCGGTCTCCACGTCCCACAAAATGTCTAATGGAAGGCCACAGCAAGTGTTTTCTTCTTTTCACATAAGATTTTGTACAAATTCAGCTTCATGTGAAAACAAAAATAGGACTGTTAATAACTGGGAACAATTGGTACCCATGATACATACATCTAATAAATATTATTAGAAAGGAATACTTTTAAAGCGTTCAAAGAATGTAAACGAAATGAAAAAAAATGAATTATAAAAATTTAGAATTTTTCATATTTTTAACATTAAAAAAATTAACTTTTACTATTTTTACTATAATTTCAGATTTAGTAATTAGTTAGTAATTATCATCGTCATGTAACGACACTGACCAAGAAAAAATAGCTTTCAAATAGATATTTTAAACACTTTGACATGTTCAAATCTACGTAAAATAACCACGCACGTGATATAACTTTACAATTAATGTCATTGAGAAGGGTTTCTGGATATAATCAGAATGGTATAGGGTGAGTTTGTTGTACTTAATCTGTATAATAGGGCTGCTCATTCAACAATTACAATATAAAGAAGATATTGTAGATAATACTAGTATTTGAATGTACATATTTAATTGATCAGTAACTTGCTTTAAATTTCAAGTACATTTTGTTCCTCTTCATTTAAAAATATCAACACGTCAGATAGTATTTTTCGTGGAATCCATTTCTATTTATATAATATATATATAAACGTAATCAATATTTAAGACACTATTTGAAATGTTTATTCGAGTTCAATGACTTCATACATGAAAGTTTGAATGGTGGTAATTGTACTATAGGAACTATAGTGGAAATCAATTATGGGTAAGTGAATAAGAATAAAATGTAAGATGATAAAGAAAATATTTCGTTTGCAATACTTTCTCTCTTTGTTTCATACAAATTCAAATACACATGATTAAAACATAGTAGTATGCATCTTATATGATAGACTTAAATCTTGAGAAAGCTAATTTACTAAGTAAGACAATGCGATTACCAAATTTCCATGAAGTTATTTTTTAGGTTAATGTTAATATATCACAATTATTAATTTTTGATAAATATTACAGGTATGCCATGTTCCCGTCATAAATATGACATAGAAATACCAGATATAAATGGTAAAAAAATCTATTTCAGCAATTATTAACCTATGAACCGAGAAAAAGAGCGTTTCCTATCTGAATTTCTATCATTACAACTATTAACCGAGATTGAAATTTATTTATAAGATATTAATTTCATTGTAGAAGAAAGACTTGGTTTCAAGAAGGAACCTGGTTTGTTCGGTAAGATTGTATGCTTTAGAAAATGAGTCGCTCTATACATGTATACAGTTCGAGAATAGTCGAGAAATATATATTTTACAACAACAACATCCTGAGAGTATCCTCTCACCGCGATTTGTCTGACGCAACATCCTTTTACACCCCTACTAATGTTATTGTTATTTAAATTTACACCACGTGGTTTCTCTTGAACTAGTCAAAGGTCATTAGGTTCGCAGTAAAGGAGAACGTTCACACCTATAGTCTGTTTTCTGTATATAACTCAGATCTTGACAAACCAGTTACGAGCAATTCCTTTATATACACATCCATCAAATGTTAACAAGATTTCTGTTCTCATGGTTCAGGAACATTTAATACTTAAGGTTCCATTATCCAATAAATCCATGTGGGCATGGAGGGGGGGGGGGGCTTGGAGTTACTTGGATTTCAGAGCTAGTGCTATAAGTATTTATTAAATTAATATTAAATGTAACATTTTTTTTAATGAATACTGAATTAAATGCAATCTAAATGACTCAGAAACTCAGAACCTGGATCCCTAAACATGTCAAGTTGGTTAGACATGCAGGAAATTAAAGCCCCCCTCCCCCCGAGACGAACTCAATTTCTTCCCTTTTTTTCCGACTTCTTTTTATTTGGAAAGGAGGGATGAGATCCATCCATCCCGCCTCTCAATATTTTTTTCTCCCATTTTCATACTTCTTTTATAATTTAAACCCTATCTCTATGGTTTAATAAATTTTCCAGAGCACTAAGGATATTTTTTATTGGAGGCATGGATGTATCCAGGAATTCTTTGTCCACATGAGTGCTGGGGGTGGGGGTGTTAAATACCAACACCTTAGTCAGAATCATAAAACCATAAAAATGGGGGGGGGGGGTAAAAAAACATGTATGAAAAAGTATGATCATGATCTTACACATACTTAGTATATCCCACAGGTGCTTGGGGACAGGATCCCCCCCCTACCTCCTGTGTTGCATACCCCAAGGATTCTTTGACTTTTTTTGAATAAAATATTTTTCTGTGATATATTTTCAAAGTTTTACAAATGAAAAAAACCTAAATTTAAGCTAAAACTAGCCCTTTATTACTCTCACTGAGTTCTGTTATAGTGTCAGTGAGGGGAAGGGGGGTCCTGTCCCCAAGCACCTGTGGTATATCCCTGTCCCCAATGTCAAGTTTGGCTAAAAATGTTCACATTTCTTCCCATTGTGCCTTTTTCATAGACTCAAAAGCATTTAAATAAATATCTAGAATATATATACATGTACATGTAAGTTCTTTTTACAACCAGTTCCTTTTAACTGAGATCATACTTGAAAAAAGATCCAACAAGATGTTTTCTAAATCTAAGTTTTACCATAAAAAATATATTTCTATATTTTAATCTCACTCTGTCAAATATTTTGAACCCCTACCTGTATTACTATTAGCCAAACACTTCTGGCCACAGCTCCAGTGAACAAGGTTCAATACATAATCATATGTCATGATATCAAAATACTTTTTAATATTAGCACAGTTTATTTCAACATCATTTAAAATACTTGTAAGAAAAGCAGATACTGGACACAATGAGGACATTTCTAAAACATATAAAATAAATTTATCTCTTTGATTTTTGTAAAACAGTCATGCATATATCATTCAGATTTTTTTTGTTTTAACATTGTGAACAAGGGAAATAACTCTTTGGGAAGATCAATTATTTGTACAGATGTACATGTATATATTTTTTTAAAATAGCCATTTCATTTGTGATATATAGATGTACATTTATCAAACCCATTTACTCTGGTTGAATTAAAATCAGCAGAGTTCAAAACAAGACCTTTCCCATATTCCAAAATTAAATTTATTACATAGAATGCACTACAAATCTAAGTTTAAGGGAGATACATGTAGTTCAATAAAAAGCAATATGAGCCGCAATTCAAACTTCATAAAACCTTGAAATTTGAAACTTTCATGTTAAAACATTTTTGGTGTAAAATTGCAGTTTATTACTACAGTATTTCAATGACAGTAAAAGAAAGGATTATAAACTTCTATTATTAATACATGTATTTACATTAGAAAGTCTTTTTAGGAAATTCTGATTGAAAAAAAATTACATCTTTTATCCTAAAAAAAAATGATTCCTACATAATATCATTACATTTGATATTAACATTGCATTGCCAAGCTTTATACAGTTTTAAAATATGCCATTATACTTATATACAACAAAATACTTAGTATTCATTGTCAACCACTTCTAAAATTGGATCGGTATCATTTTAACCAGAGAATAAAATCATTCAAAATTGATCACCAATATTTTGGGCTCATTACATTTGCTTCTACGAGCCTCTGTTTCATTCAGCAACTGTTCTTTATTTTCTGTGTAAAAAATACAAGGTCTCAACTCCAATCTTAAGGCAGTGCTGATATGCTGTCATCTTTTATAAATGCATGATCTGGATTTGAAAAAAAAAAAACCAAACATCAATTCAAAGATTATGCATGTACATACTGCAGATTCCTTATTTTTTGTGAGTACTTATAATTGCAAAATAGCTCTTAAAAACATTAAATCGTAAGAATATATATTTGTGAATGGACGGTTGTTAATGCATGGGTTTCATTACCATAAACATATTTATTTCGCAAGTGATGCTACATGCAAATTGCAATTATAAATTCCTTGCATTTAACGAGGAATTTATAGCATATAACATAGTCTGTTGTTGTATACATAAAATTTAGTAACTTTTAAAATAATCGCACAATAAATTGTGTAAATGTACTCAGATTTATAATTGACTATAAGCCTATATGGACCATGATGCTCCTCTGAGACATGTCAATTGAAAGTAAAATACAACCATATTTTCTTTAAACATGTTAAAAATGACATTCTACACATGAAAAGTGTGACTAATTCCTAGGTGAGGGTCATTCAATAAAGAAGTCACAATATGAAGTCAGATTATATTTCTGTGTAAAAAAAAATATGCAGCCAGTGTCAAATCAGTATATAGGGGTGGATACATGAATATTTTGTGAATTAATTTGTGCCATTTCTTGTCAGGAATTCCAGAATTTAATTAAAAAACTGACTCATGTATCCACTCCTTTAAATGTGCAGAACTGAATTTGCAAAAATGACTGCAAATTTTTGCATGAATATGAGATTGTCATTGTGTCATTTCGTCTAACCATTCTCCTGAAAATATTTTGCCTTCAATTTGGGTTGGGACAAATATGAATGTTAAGTACCTAACAACAATCAGTTTTCAAAAGTACAATGTACAGTACATGTATTTGTAAGTTCAGGATATTAGGAGTTCAAATTTGTTAATAAAAATATCAAATGCATCATTTTCATGAAGTTTCTTGAAATTTCTTGAAGAAAATCACTGATCTCAATCAAAACCTTAATCTTTAGAAAGCCATCCTCCCATTTGAGATACAAATTCCAACATCCAATTTAAAAATAATGAACATCCTCCCCAATGTGACATGTTCATTTTCATATGTTCATTTTCGAATTAAATAAATAAGAAAAAAGTGAAGCATTCTGCTAATTTATCTATCATTTCATACAATCAGCCTTTAAAAAGATTTTAAAATTTCTTTGTGGACAAAGGGCATACTTTAAATACATGTCAGATATTGACTGCATGTGTTGAACTTTTCTTAATATAATTTATAATGCAATATCATACCAAATTTTTGCACGCATGTTCAAAATCAACAATAATACCTTGATAACCCTGTCCAACATGTTCCATTTCAAATTGGCTCCTTTTCCTCATCCTTCAAGAGTTTTAAGAAGTTTCAGTATCCACCTCCACAAAGGTTTTAAACCAGCTTCTTTGTCAGAAACACCTATAAATAGAGAGAAATATTAAGGCATTTGAAATAGTGTGTATTGTAATGTTAATTTCCAATCTTTGATGTCAAGGAAGTTAAGAAGGTCATGTGTAAGAAATTTATCAATGAATATTGTCTTCAGCACTGAATTTTGTATTTGTCTGAATTTAAAAGCCATGAAGTACCTGGTAACAGAAAGCACTTACAGCTAAAAAATTCATTTGTGTTTTCAGAATTTTGAGATGTACCTGAGAAGTGCGAGAAAACTCTCAATTTTCCTTCCCATTACAAGGAATGTTGTAAAAAATATTCCTTGGCCTGTTATAAGATGGAGAACAAGTAAATAAACCATTCTAACAGAGATAAAGACTGCGAACATTCCCCAAATGTGTTAATTGCTGAAATTTATGTTTACAATGTTTTTCACTTTAAGCTGACCGCTAAGGCCTAAACTGCTCAAACTATGATGTCATGTCAACCGCTAAACTTTAATGTCATATAGTGTATGACTACATTACGCATGTTACAAAAAGGACGTTGACAAAGGGAAAATCAAAGAAAATGTAATAAACAGAAAATTCAATGTTTATGGAATTTATTTCACTCATGAGACAAAATATCCTGTCCCACACATGAAATAATTTCCATATTCAACTACAAAACATTGAATATCCTCAATATACAAGTGAACACTTAACTGTACTAAACAAGAGGCCCATGGACCACATCGCTCACCTGAGTAGCTTTGACCATGCTGTTCTTTACCAAATTCCCCCCACTGTAATACATATTGTGACCCAAGACTACCACATCGGTCATGAATTGAACAATTTACATTATACACTAGCCCAGGATGCTTCCACATAAATTTCAGTTTTTCTGGGCCAGACAACAGGTGATAAGAGAAACTCACTTGAGTTTTTTTTTGCTCAGGTGAGCTAAAATCTTTATCTCTTTTGTCGCCCTACCTTTCGGGGCTTTGTACCCTATCCTCCAGGGCAATGATATTACAATTAAATCTATATATGCTACATGTTTACATGTAAAGACAGCATTCATGTCTGGACTATTCTTAAGAAGGAGGCATTGCATTTTCTTTAAACCTTTTCTTATAACCTTTATTCCCATGTTCAAGAATACTTTATGCCAAGTTGGTTGAAAGTGGCCCAGTGGAGAATGTGAAAGTTTATATATACAAAGATGACAACAAGGGCAACAATATCACAATAAGTACACGAATATACAATAGACAAATTTTAATCAGAAACTCCCTTGAGCCTCTGACCCTATAGGGACTTACACTTTTGACAAATCCTGCTTTGTATATATTTTGAAATTGCCTCTGTACATGTTTTAATGTACAGGTGGACAGTTTCTTGATGTTCTTGAACAGATTTTCTTATTTGTTTGTGATCCTGACATCATCCTGTAGAAATCTCTGTACCACTACTGTCTTTCAATATATTAGGCTAGGGGTTTGATGGGCGACTGGCATACAGCATCAGAATATTGATGTGAAATAACATTCCTGAAGAGACCTGAAAGTTTTGGCTCAGTGTTAAAAGTTAATCAACATGAAGGCAAAAGTTGTACAACATTGCATAAATGATAAAACCATTTCAGTAATATCTTATAGTGATCAAGATCTAGTATTTATTGTCCTTTTTTTGCTAGCTAGATCTATCAAGATGAAATCAATGATATAATTCTGAATCATCTTTAAAATAAACCCACTTTTCCATTTTCTTTTTGTAGAAAATGAAGAATTTTCATGGAAAAATTTGAAATCAATCATGTCAAAAGTAACCATGATCATGATGATACCTTTATTCAGTTTAATATCATTTTAAAGCAGATTGAAGAAGATAATGAAAAATAAAGTTTTCTGAGAGACGGTTCAACATGTTCAATGGCAATATCGATTTATTTCTTGGTCTGAGACAGAGAGGAAAACTCCAATACTTACAGTCATACATCTGCATGATTTTCTTCATTTTTCATTGAACTGAATGCAGTTTAAAATATATATATTACTGAGTTTACTTAAAATTTATTTCTCAATACATCTTTGATTACCAAGCTAAACTATCATTGTAAAAGATCATTTAATGTGTAGCTTGAAAATTCTTCATTTTATTTTTGACGGACACATAAAATTGAACGCGGACTAGTAAAAGTAAAGGAGCACTAGTCCGGCTGGACCAAAGCCTAGAAATTTTAGTGTCAACCCCTGCGGCAGGGGATGCTCACTCCACCATGACACCTTATCCGACCTCTGATGTTTCAGAGGTCTGTGTTTGCTCTGCTCCTATTTTGTATTGTTTTATGGACTTTGATATTGAATACTGTTCATTATCTCCATATCCTATGTTTCAGAAGAAGATAAAAAAAACTTTTTTGCATCATGACTGTAAGAGATATTTTATTCGATAATGAGCAATCATTTTAGTCATTAACATCTAAAATATTATAAAAATATATGAGAATTTATTAAAGCAATTATATTTCTTTGCATAAGGGACACTGACACACACCATCATGAGTGTGATATAATTATGTTTATAAGAATTTGACAGACTTTTTGAAATACTTTTATCACTCTAGGCATGATAATGAATCAATCAAATTACTTACTAGTACCATTCATGTGCTCAGTACTTAGTACTTTACAGTTTAAGTGTCTGTATGTTATCTAAGATTGTGATCAAGGAAATTTAAATAATCTTCAAGTAATATATTTCGTGGCGGTATGTTTTCTAAAAAAATATGTTAGGGGGCGCTTTGACTAAAATCAGGGGATGCTTTGACTAAAATTAGGGGACACTATGACCAGGACGTTTTTATTGGGCCAATAGGGGGCGCTTGGACTGGCTCCCGCTGCACTCCCTCCCCCCTTTTGATTTGCAAAATAAGAGAGAGAAAGAAAGACCCAAATTTCTAAAGTGTATTCTGTTTGTACTATAGAAAAATGTTCATTGAAAGGCTAATGTTGTAATATATAAAGAAATTTGGTTGTGATAACAAAATGAAACCCTACTTCTTTACGTCGTAGGATTTACAGGTTCAAAGATTTTTTTTTCACTTTTTCAAAAAATTTAAGGTAACCTATAGATACGAGTATTTTCTTCACAGGTTGATCACCCTACCATTTTTAAGAAACACACTCCACCCTGTATTCTACTGAGTTATTTAACTACATGTACATGTTTATGTAAAACGTATGTTACAATGTATGTATACTCTTTTCTTCAGCCCCCCCCCACCCCTCGCCCTTGAAAAATTTCTAGATCCGCGCCTGAATAATAATCACCAGCTGATCACTTGAGGGTTGTTTATATTATTATTTACCATTTCTAATCTTTTGAATGTCACATTCATTCTATATTCATTTAATTACCGGTAAGCACTTCTTCACATGTTTATTAATACATGTATATTGCATGTAAGTAACTGAGAAATTGTGTATCTGCTATGTAAGAAGTAAAACAGACTATAACATTTTCTGCACATTGAATCATTTTCACTTCTTTTAATACTGGGGTAAAATATTTCACAACACCAAGAACAACATAAATAATTTAGTATATTAATTCAAAAACATTGACAAGCCCTATATATTTTTATAACACCAAAAGATTTTTATTTTTCCAACCACGTGGAGGCATGTAAACAAAGGACGATAACTCTAATGCACCTGATTTAATGTTTCTCGTTTCGTGTGTTTGAGGTGATAGAATTCGAGAAATAAAGACTAATTGAATCAGTTTTTATGTGCAAAAAATGTTCAAGTGAAAGAAGGCAAATAAAATGAGCTTTACTTACATTAAATGCATAAATCCCAAAACACACATCTACTTCCTGTCTAAATCTTACAGGAACTGGTGCAGATCTCGCATGGTCTCGAGGCTGGTCTCGTTAGAGGTCAAATCGACCACTCGGATGTTACGCTACACTTAGCAGCGATAAAGAATATCATCCGAACACATTAGTAGGGGTGTTTTATATATTGTCTTGAAGAATGACACCCAGACATACCTGTCGTTTTTTCGATAATGAATGATAAGCAACTTTATCTATTAAATATGAGAAACATATATATTTTTTAAGATTCACTTTATGGAAGTAAATATATTAATGTATCTCGCAATTCAAAAGGGAAAGAACATTCTGGTTAACACTCTTTTCAATGTTTAGAAAACCTAGCTTTAATTCTGAATAACTACTCCCACCCCAATCCCCATACACTAACACTTAAACTTATATGTATAGAGCAGCCCGATCCTCCGGGCTGCAATAATCATTCGTTAGACGGCGATATTTCGTTTGCAATACTTTCTCTCTTTGTTTCATACAAATTCAAATACACATGATTAAAACATAGTAGTATGCATCTTATATGATAGACTTAAATCTTGAGACAGCTAATTTACTAAGTAAGACAATGCGATTACCAAATTTCCATGAAGTTATTTTTTAGGTTAATGTTAATATATCACAATTATTAATTTTTGATAAATATTACAGGTATGCCATGTTCCCGTCATAAATATGACATAGAAATACCAGATATAAATGGTAAAAAAATTTATTTCAGCAATTATTAACCTATGAACCGAGAAAAAGAGCGTTTCCTATCTGAATTTCTATCATTACAACTATTAACCGAGATTGAAATTTATTTATAAGATATTAATTTCATTGTAGAAGAAAGACTTGGTTTCAAGAAGGAACCTGGTTTGTTCGGTAAGATTGTATGCTTTAGAAAATGAGTCGCTCTATACATGTATACAGTTCGAGAATAGTCGAGAAATATATATTTTACAACAACAACATGCTGAGAGTATCCTCTCACCGCGATTTGTCTGACGCAACATCCTTTTTTATATTGTCTTGAAGAATGACACCCATACATTGGATAAAGAACTCGCAAGAAAACATTGATGTAACCATCAATTGTCGCCCGGGAAATATATAAAGTAAACAATGGAAATGAGTCTTAATCATCAAACAGCTCCGATATGTGTGAAAAAGCATCCATCTAATAGATGGAGACGATAGTCGCAAATATTTTGAAAACGTTTAGCCGGATAAATATCAAACAAAAATGAAACCATTTTAAACTTCAATTCCTCGGGTAAATGTTGGCTGCATAAAATATTAATTGAAGTTAGAGACATGCATCACCTATATTCAAAAATGTTTTTAATTTTGAATTTTAGAATATAAAACACGAACAGCGCAGAGTACGTTTTTATGCGAGAAGTAAAATTCGATGTTCTAAAAAAAAAGGGACCTGTCGTTTTTTCGATAGTGAATGATAAGCAACTTTATCTATTAAATATGAGAAACATATATATTTTTTAAGATTCACTTTATGGAAGTAAATATATTAATGTATCTCGCAATTCAAAAGGGAAAGAACATTCTGGTTAACACTCTTTTCAATGTTTAGAAAACTTAGCTTTAATTCTGAATAACTACTCCCACCCCAATCCCCATACACCAAAACTTAAACTTATATGTATAGAGCAGCCCGGTCCTCCGGGCTGCAATAATTATTCTTTAGACGGCGATATTTCGTTTGCAATACTTTCTCTCTTTGTTTCATACAAATTCAAATACACATGATTAAAACATAGTAGTATGCATCTTATATGATAGACTTAAATCTTGAGACAGCTAATTTACTAAGTAAGACAATGCGATTACCAAATTTCCATGAAGTTATTTTTTAGGTTAATGTTAATATATCACAATTATTAATTTTTGATAAATATTACAGGTATGCCATGTTCCCGTCATAAATATGACATAGAAATACCAGATATAAATGGTAAAAAAATCTATTTCAGCAATTATTAACCTATGAACCGAGAAAAAGAGCGTTTCCTATCTGAATTTCTATCATTACAACTATTAACCGAGATTGAAATTTATTTATAAGATATTAATTTCATTGTAGAAGAAAGACTTGGTTTCAAGAAGGAACCTGGTTTGTTCGGTAAGATTGTATGCTTTAGAAAATGAGTCGCTCTATACATGTATACAGTTCGAGAATAGTCGAGAAATATATATTTTACAACAACAACATGCTGAGAGTATCCTCTCACCGCGATTTGTCTGACGCAACATCCTTTTTTATATTGTCTTGAAGAATGACACCCATACATTGGATAAAGAACTCGCAAGAAAACATTGATGTAACCATCAATTGTCGCCCGGGAAATATATAAAGTAAACAATGGAAATGAGTCTTAATCATCAAACAGCTCCGATATGTGTGAAAAAGCATCCATCTAATAGATGGAGACGATAGTCGCAAATATTTTGAAAACGTTTAGCCGGATAAATATCAAACAAAAATGAAACCATTTTAAACTTCAATTCCTCGGGTAAATGTTGGCTGCATAAAATATTAATTGAAGTTAGAGACATGCATCACCTATATTCAAAAATGTTTTTAATTTTGAATTTTAGAATATAAAACACGAACAGCGCAGAGTACGTTTTTATGCGAGAAGTAAAATTCGATGTTCTAAAAAAAAAGGGACCTGTCGTTTTTTCGATAGTGAATGATAAGCAACTTTATCTATTAAATATGAGAAACATATATATTTTTTAAGATTCACTTTATGGAAGTAAATATATTAATGTATCTCGCAATTCAAAAGGGAAAGAACATTCTGGTTAACACTCTTTTCAATGTTTAGAAAACTTAGCTTTAATTCTGAATAACTACTCCCACCCCAATCCCCATACACCAAAACTTAAACTTATATGTATAGAGCAGCCCGGTCCTCCGGGCTGCAATAATTATTCTTTAGACGGCGATATTTCGTTTGCAATACTTTCTCTCTTTGTTTCATACAAATTCAAATACACATGATTAAAACATAGTAGTATGCATCTTATATGATAGACTTAAATCTTGAGACAGCTAATTTACTAAGTAAGACAATGCGATTACCAAATTTCCATGAAGTTATTTTTTAGGTTAATGTTAATATATCACAATTATTAATTTTTGATAAATATTACAGGTATGCCATGTTCCCGTCATAAATATGACATAGAAATACCAGATATAAATGGTAAAAAAATCTATTTCAGCAATTATTAACCTATGAACCGAGAAAAAGAGCGTTTCCTATCTGAATTTCTATCATTACAACTATTAACCGAGATTGAAATTTATTTATAAGATATTAATTTCATTGTAGAAGAAAGACTTGGTTTCAAGAAGGAACCTGGTTTGTTCGGTAAGATTGTATGCTTTAGAAAATGAGTCGCTCTATACATGTATACAGTTCGAGAATAGTCGAGAAATATATATTTTACAACAACAACATCCTGAGAGTATCCTCTCACCGCGATTTGTCTGACGCAACATCCTTTTTTATATTGTCTTGAAGAATGACACCCAGACATTGGATAAAGAACTCGCAAGAAAACATTGATGTAACCATCAATTGTCGCCCGGGAAATATATAAAGTAAACAATGGAAATGAGTCTTAATCATCAAACAGCTCCGATATGTGTGAAAAAGCATCCATCTAATAGATGGAGACGATAGTCGCAAATATTTTGAAAACGTTTAGCCGGATAAATATCAAACAAAAATGAAACCATTTTAAACTTCAATTCCTCGGGTAAATGTTGGCTGCATAAAATATTAATTGAAGTTAGAGACATGCATCACCTATATTCAAAAATGTTTTTAATTTTGAATTTTAGAATATAAAACACGAACAGCGCAGAGTACGTTTTTATGCGAGAAGTAAAATTCGATGTTCTAAAAAAAAAGGGACCTGTCGTTTTTTCGATAGTGAATGATAAGCAACTTTATCTATTAAATATGAGAAACATATATATTTTTTAAGATTCACTTTATGGAAGTAAATATATTAATGTATCTCGCAATTCAAAAGGGAAAGAACATCCTGGTTAACACTCTTTTCAATGTTTAGAAAACCTAGCTTTAATTCTGAATAACTACTCCCACCCCAATCCCCATACACCAACACTTAAACTTATATGTATAGAGCAGCCCGGTCCTCCGGGCTGCAATAATTATTCTTTAGACGGCGAGGTGCAAAATTTGGTCAACGACGTGGTGGATAACACTAAGTTAATTCATCCAAATTTACTGAAATATGCTTGTATTTAATTTATTTTGGCTTTCAAAATAAAGTGTTTAATTACTATCCTTACCAATTTGGCTATGTTGCTGATAAAATTAAAGTCGTTTCGTTTTTCAGTTATTAAACATGATGATTTTGCTCAGATAACAAAATATTTCCATTGAATTGTTTATTAAAAGTTTGCTAACAGTTATTAGTTCTCAAAAAGGACACCTACCAGGTTTACTGAGTATCAACAAAATTATGTCCGTTATTTTTAAATCCTCTTCATATTTCTGAACTTTAATAACTTTGCTTATTTCTATGGAAATCTACTAACAAACAAACAATATACAGGTAATACTGACAAAGTGTTTTATATTTAAGATTGATAAAGACCTCTATGACATATTGTTTCAATTCGTAGAGATATGAACAAATAATTTATAGCTTCAAAACATTTTATGCTTTAAAATATATTTATACAGACCTCCAACTAAGATAAAAAACTAGATTATTTTGCTCTGATATCCTTAATCTTTAAAAGCCATTTTTTTTAAAGGATACCAGGAGTGTTCAACAAGTTGTGACAGTGGAGGAACAAGTCAATACGCTTATCCAATTGTCTGTAAAGAAGTTTTATATTACTCGAATAAAGAAACTTGTACTTACGAGAAAAGAGTCCCAGATAGGTTCAGAGATGATATTGTAGGCTTTGTAGCCGTTGAAGAAGTCAAAAGGAAGTCCTCAGCTAGTAACAGAGGTAATTATCCACTATAAATATGAACTTTTTCGTATGTAAATTATATGTGTTTTCTTTGTATTCTTTTTTTAGCGATGTACAGATTATTTTTCCTCATTTTGATTTTCCTACTTGCCTATGACAAACTTTGGTAGTAGTTTTAATTGTTCTTGTTACGTTAAAGAATTCTTTCACAAAGATTCGAAGTATATAGCGAATTAGAGCTGAATATAAAATGTCAATAGATAGTAACATTTTCCAGGACAAGACTGTTACCTCTAAGATACCATGATTGGAAAATATATACATGACAAGTGTACTACAAATGCAGATGAAATGAGAAAAAAATGTATGGGCTAAAGACAATTATCCCACCCCTAATATTAATTTTTCTGCATGAGATATTTAATATCATTTTTCTGCCAATGAAATCCATCATTTCATCGATATGCAAGCCCCGAACTAAGAAAAAAGTGTAGCAGATATGGAAAAATCTTGACAAAACCAGAGGCAAAAGGCTTATCCTGCAAAAGATCTCCCTGAAACTATATCTAAAAGTGCGGTCACACGATGAGATTTTTCATCCGATTTTTCCATCCGATTTGCTTTCGACTAAAATCTTACCGTGTGACCACCCAAGTCGAAAGTCGAAAGCAAAGTCTGAAAGTCGTTTGGAAATCGGATGGCCGTCAGATTTTCAATCGACTTTCTG